CCTGGGGGGTGTCGCGGCGCCACTGCGGACGGTGTGGAGAGAGAGCTCTCTCCGGATCGGCGGACATCCGACAGGCAGGTCACGTTTTTGCCGGCAAATGGCGCGTCAACACCGGCCGACAATATGCTGCCGGAGCGGCGGAAGCCACGGCGGAGGCGGAACGGAAGGCGGTGGCGGAGGCGGGAGGCGGTGGCGGAGGCGGGAGGCGGTGGCGGAGGCGGTGGCGGAGGCGGAAGCGGAAACTGGCTGTGGCGCAGGCGTCGCTGGCGACATCAAAACCAACAAAGGTCGCAACACAGTAGCGACAGGCGGTAGCGGGTTTCGTGAGCGTTTCTAAAGTCGGTGATCCACTGGGCGTGCGCTGTTCCGCGCCGCTTCTTTGACGGATGACCTGCCTGAAAGACGAACGAGTATCTGTTTGCTCTCGCCTGTTTTGCATACTCCGTCGAGCGTCGAGCGCGTCGCTGGCGGCGCTGTGCGCGCGGGCGGCGCGGGGTCGAGATTACCCCGGCCGTGTGTCGGCCGTCGGCGGTCATAAAAAGATTTACCGACGGTCGCGTCGGTTTGAGATCTTAATAAGCGCAGTAGATCAGGCGGCCGGCGGCAATCCATCACAGCTGCTGGCAGCGGCGTCAGGCAACGCGGGCATGTATCAGCCGGCGACGTCAATTATGATCCATTACCGCCGGTCCCGACGCCGGACACGCTCATTTGTTTACACGGGCGCCGCCCCCCGGCCGGGCGCGGCGGCCGCCCGGCGCGCGCCGCTTACCGACCGGCGGCTCTGCTCTGACCCGCCGCCACTTGTTTGGGCAGTGCTCCGGTGAATAGACAATAAGTCCGAACGGAGGCATTTGTTCGGCGTAATGGTCCGCTCGCAGCCGATTCGGAGACATAAGCGATTTCTCGACCGGACAGCAGCGAAAACAATAGCAGTCGCCGGTCTCGTTTTGGAAGCGGTCGCCGCCCGCCCACTCGGCCCGGCCAACTGCGCGCTCGCACCGACTCGCCTATAATCGTACATCACGCTGAATTCCTGCGTCTCGAAATCAGATAGTGGCGCTCATTTTGCTGCGCGTCCCCTGGGATAGGCATCATCACTATTTTGGTTCTATTGTGTGGGCCGATCGGCATGTGCGATATACGTGCGTCGCGCCGGCGACAGAGGCGGAGCCGGAGACAGGGACGGTGGTGACACAGCCGCCGCACACTGCGCGTGCCTTCCGACCCGGTCACCTCCGGAGCAGCCGACACGCCGAGATCGGCCCGATAGCAGTCCCGAGCCGCCTCTCAACGGACCGGCACAGCTCGTCGAGAGAGTCGCGAGAGTCGAGCGTCGAGCAAGTCGAGAGTCAGAGTCGAGCGTCGAGCGTCTAGCGTCGAGCGAGTCGAACGCGTCAACTGTCGAGCGTCGAGCGAGTCGAACAAGTCGATTGTCGAGCGTCGAGCTTACATCTAAACGCTGACTTCGAGTGAGTCAAGAGCCAGGCTTCAGGTTTATAATCGGCGACTCACTTTGGTGAGATAAATGCAACGTCATAGTTCCCATGATTGTATAAGCGGTTTGCCTGCTGCCTTGGCCCAAGGGTTTCTCTCACGACATAGTCACTAACTGTTCTGGGTCAAACCCTGGGATTGCAGTCAGCTGAACAAGGCTTGAAGATCAGCCAGTGCCCAGTCACAAAAGCAGGCATTCAGCTAGTGCATTGTATGCTGTGCAGAAGGCCCTATCATCATCGCACTGTTACACATTAAATCGTTTGACCCTTGTTAAGTCAGCAAATTGCTTCGAGTGGAGGTGACACACAATAAGACATGAACTGAAAGTCATCGGCGCAAGGTTTCGAGGAGCTCTTATTGGAGCTACTTGCTAAGGCGAGAGACCTCTCGAGAACAAATAAGATCGGAACAGGTTTTGTTCGTTGCCGAGCGGAGCCTTGTGAGGCTCATGGGCGCCGCTCTGGTCTCATTTGACCGTTTAGTGTCCTCTTGAGCAGATATGAAGAGGCTCACCACGACCAAGAACTCTGCACCAAGAGCCCAGGTCGGAGCACCCTCACACCTTAGCACCGACCGTTCTTCAATGGTGTCAGGTCGAGCTGGGTCTTATTTCTCAGCCAGGCGGGAAAAACGTGTCAGGTGCGTAAAAACCTGCGTCCGTGTCAAGATAAGAGCAACAGGATCCCACTGGTGTTAAAGGATGGCTCTGCCCAGCCCAGCCAGGAAGTTGAGGGACGGCTACCCTCTCTTGCTACTGGACAGTGAGAAAGAGGAGACTACAAACACCCTGCTAGGAAAAGTCGGGGAAAATTAAACAGCCAGCGAATTGAATATGCTGAATCATTTTCGTAAAGTAGGACGGCATATACCGATTGAATAAGGGATGAGTCGTTGAATGCAGTCTGGAAAATACAACTTATAGGTATGACAATGAAACAATTACAAGAAAAGTAAACCATTCCCTTTTAGCAGCATTCCTACCAAAGTGGCCACCAATTCCCTGCTGTGTATTTTAGTTTTACCGGTCGGCCGAGTTTGGCGTGGGATCGCAGCCTCCCATGAGACCGACACATGCACACACGGTGTTGAATCAGCCGCTTTGTTTAGCGCTGTTTGCATTTAAGGATGTACACTGTTTCTCGTGTTTGCCGGCGGGATTGTGTGTGCGTTCGGGCGTCGGCCGGCCGGCGCCGCCGTTTATAGTTTGCCGCCGTTCCCATGGCTTAGCCGGCCCGTCCTGGTCAGTACTCTGACCTCGGGGCACGCAGACCGCGCCGGCCGGCTCCGGTGTGCGGGCGGCGGGCCATGCGGGTCGCCGGCAGCGGTCTCTCAGCAGAGTATCTCGCTACATTAGTGGCTCGTTTATGCATGCACGGCGCGCCCAGCCGCCGCTCTGCGATGGCTCGCCACGGAAGGGAGCCGGCGCCGCCGCCGACCCCCGCCTCGTACCGGCGCACGGCATGACAGGAAGCCATGCAACCGTGCCGGCCGCCCGCCGCCCGGCCGCCCGGCGTTCCTCCTCCTCCGGCGCGCCGGCCACGGCTCACTCCAGTCCAGAGAGAGTCCGATCGCGCGAGTCCGGCGGCATGCGGCAGAGTCCGCCGCCGGAATCCGGTGCCTCGCTCGGCGCACGCGGCGGCTCGAGCGGCGGCCGCCGGGCGCCACCGCAGGCTACTGCAACCGGTACCGCAAATATGCACTCTCTAACGGCAGACGGCGCTACCGGAGCCGAGCTGGTCAGACGGTCAGCCGACCGGGCGGCTGGAGCTTTGCCCGGTCAGCGGCAGCCGAGGTTTGACATGCTGTTACTCCCTCACTGAGGTCTTCTCAGAGGTGGTCTGTGTTCAAAACCCCGGCGGCCGTAGCCACCACCGCCACCGCCGCCGCCGTCGCCCATTCATACCTGGCTCTGATGACGTCATCGGTCGTGCTCGAAAATTTAATTACCGACAATGATGTGTGTCGCGCCGGTCGGCATACTGATGACGGGCGACGTGGGGCTGCAGGAGGGGGGGGGGGGGGATCGGCGGCGGTCCGGCGCGTGACCGGTGGACGGGGCGGTGTCGGCAGCGCCGCACCGCAGCGCCGTCTGGCTGTGAGGCGCCGCCGCCGCCGCCGCCACCGCCGCTGCCGCCGCCGTCACCGTCTGACTCAGACGTGAGCTAGGGTGGTAGCCAGGAGAGGTTTGGGAAACTTTGCCGTAAATCGAAAGACAGCTGTGTGAGCTGGTGGCTTAGATAATGGCCGAAATGAATTGATGCATCAGAATGAATAAGTTCTTACAGTCTTACTTGATGTGACTTGATGTTTTTAGTAATTCGAGAATGCACCATGCATTCTTAATTTTACTCCCCACTCCTCACACCCATTCTAAAATCGAAGCCGCGCTTAACTTGGGATGTATGGTTCACATTGAGTCATGATCTAGGAATGCTTACCTGTCGGGTGGTTCAATCAAAGCAATTAGCCGCCACTGCAGCTTCGCTCGAGAACTGACCGGTCACCAGGTAAAACAACGTCGGCAAACCCCCCACAAAGACCAAACCCCCCACAAACAGAGTAGAACTACATTTACTCATGGCCGAGGCAGCAGCGGCATAGCGGTCAGCTGGATCACGCAACCACTTATGCCCAGCCTCTGAACAACACAGACAACTGAATGAATTAATTCGACCGTCTAATGAACTTATCCCACGGAATCTAGACAAGTAGCGTGTACTAAAGCCATTATCCCATTACGGTTTAGCCGGCACTGGGGTAAATCAGCCACCGCTGCACTGCGGACGACCTCTCAGTGGTGGGATTGCCCAAAAGGTTCGCCAAAAGGACGGCCGCTGCGGCGCACGAAGAACATTATGTGTAACGCTGAAGCTGGTCGGCGATGGTATCGGGCCGATACTTCTGAGGCTGCGCCGCACGGGAGCTAATTAATGCTCCAGCGCGTCGCACGCCGCTCCGCAGAGTGAGATGTCCAGAGTGGTGGTACCGTCCGCACGGCGTCGCAGTCTCCCACGGTGGGTAGACTGTGCCGCAATGCATGGTGACTGCAACGCAGCATACGGCGCGGAAGACTAACACCAGATTTTCAGATGTTTTTGGGGCGTGCTGTCCGCGCGCAGGGAGCGATGCTGAGGTGATGGGGGTGTATAGTGGGGTTGGGCGGGGGCGGGGGCGGGGGCGGGCGGCGGATGGCGGCGGAGATAGGCAGCCGCCGGCGTGGATTATGTGTTTGAATGGTGGCGCCGGCCGGCGGATGCAAATTTCGGTGAGCATATGCGGCTCAGTGGTGCATCCACTCTCGTGTGGCGGCGGAGGTGGGTGATATTCGGGCGATAGGACTCCACCGCGGCCGCGGAGTCGCTGTTCCAACTCTGCCGGCACCGAGAGACGCCCGGACTACAGACGCCCAAAATGCCTGGAGACGCAGACAACACTAAAAGGCCAGAACAACACCCAAACGGAGCCGAGCCTAAGAGACTTTTTAGTCTGAGAGTACTCACCCTGACTGGGCTGGCTGCATCATGTCGGGAGACCAGTGTAACCTGCGAACAGAAAGAGGAAAGTGAGAGACTGACATCCATCGGCAGGGGAAGGAAAGAGACATGGAGAAAGGGGAAATGCTTCCCTTGAGAATAAGGGAACTCTACTTGGTCTTCCTTTCCATCCTGATGATTTGGCCAGAAATCATCTGTAAAAATGTTTGCATTTTCTCTAGGGTTTTCAACAGATCTAGCCTAGCGATGGTCGTGCCACTTGGGCTCAAAACGAGTTCATGGCGTTCACTCGACTATTCCACTCCATTAGAGTTCACTACTTCACTTCAGACTCGTGCGCGCAACACAGATACCGAAATCGGCCATCATGGCCCAGTCCAGCACGGTATGTGTGCCATGCACGGCACGCGCACTGAGCGTCCAAGGTCCGCCGAATGACAGCTGAATCCTCAGCGACCCGAACTCAGGAACGTAAAGCCGCGAAACGTGAAAAAGAAACGGCCAAGATGAAAGCGCGGACCAGCCCGATGTTTAGTCAAAGAATCCTGAATGGGATTATTGTATTAAAATTCAGTCAGCGTTCGTAGGATAAACATAGCTGAACTGAGTTACAAGGAATTATTCAGGCATGAATTTCTTCAGCATCTTTGTTACTAATATGGTCTGCAGACTGAAAGTCAAGGCAACCCAAAATTTTTGTAGATATAAGCACTGCATATGCCAAAGAAACTGTTTGGAAATTTCCAAACGAAATTAAAAATTCGTGGCCACACAGAAAATAAGCTGAACGATCATTCATACAAATTTCACAGCTTCTAATACAACAAAACGTTGGTGATCCAATCACTTTATCCATTCCGCCGTAATGACATCGGCCACAGTCCAGCATCCATCAGCGCTGGCCGAAAACGCGCGTCATCCGATGCAATGACAATATCTAAATAGCTGCGCTCGGGGGCGCGTGCCTGCTATCCCCACCAATCGGCGTGCTATCGTCCCTGTCAATCCGGCACTGTCAGCGGCCCGCTCGCCGGCAATCTTCCCCGGTCACCCTTGACTTGGTCCGCGCCCCGGGCCGGCCGGGTTTTCCGTGCGACCTCGCTCGGGTCGGCCGTTCGTCAGACCCGCTGTTCGCAACATGACACGGCTGCGACGTAAACGGTCCTCTCACCGGCCGCCGGCCGTAACGAGTGCACACTCATCGCTCAATATCCCCAAGTCGCTCGGACTTTTAACGGCGATAAATCGCAACATCGCCCGCCCGCTAATACTCTCTCGTGAATTTTGAGCGCTCTCATGTCGTGCAATAGTCGGTCAGAGTTGTAAAAGTAGCTGCCCGTCTGCCGCCGGCAGCTCTGGCCGGTCCTGCTCTCGGAAAGCCTGGCCTCTGGCGGTGCAGGGGCGCGCTGCGCGGCCCGCGGGCCTCCTGACCGGGCTATAAACTCGGCGGCGGCGCCTGTAATCGGCCGGGCCGCGGCTGGCAGCGCGCCGCACCGCCTCCCCGCAGCCCATGGCGTGTCAACACGCCGCAAAATAACTGTAAATCGACCCCACCGCCTCCGCCACTCGTTTTCGCTATTACAAAAATGACCTGAATTAGCATATAAGTTCTCGGCAGGGCGGAAGGCTGGTCAGGTTGAGTTAGGGAGGCAAGGGTGTGCCGGTCTTGGCAAGGCAATGTCGATAACGGACCTGCAAACAGCCTGAAGGTGCGGTCACTTCTTCAATTTAAAGTCCGGCTTTCAATTGCATACCAGCCACGAGATCACTCTCCTTCGAGTATAACTGTCAGCAGAATATCGGCGGATTCGAACTTTTGACGACGATCCAAAGAGGAGTCTCGTGTCTAAAGTCATCCCATCGGGCCATCAAACCGTCAGGCCAATGGCCGTCAAGCCTTCATCCGGCCACGTCGTCAAACCACGGATCGCCGGTACAAAGCGGGCGTCGCAAACCGTCGTGAGACTTGGCGCCGGAGCGTCCTATGGAGCCGTGCCTCCGCGGCAGGCCTTCCATCGGATACGGTCTGGGCCTTCAGAGGGGACAGGCCGCGCGCAGGAGCCGTGGAGAATCCTGCAGACGGCGACACGTTACACTACCACGCAGGAGCTGACGTCACGATACCCAAAGAAGATCTCCGCTCCGGTGGTGGAGAAGGTAGTCGGTGAGGCACCTAACCAATACCGATGGCCGCGAGGCAGTGTGGAGCCAGTCGTAGCGGTGCCGGGCCGTCCAAAGTGCCTGCTGCAGAGCCGACGCCCACGCCGGCTGGCCGAATGGCGCGATGGCCGGTGAGAGACGGTCCCGTTACGCCTATTTCGGCACTAATTGGGTGCCGCGCCGGGAGGCGGCCCGTGCACGTTGCGTGTAGGCATCCGAAGCGATATACGGCAGGCGCCGGCACCCACACGGCAGTCGATTAAACAGCGAGAGAAATCAGTTCAAGTAATTGAGCGTGGTCACTCAAGGCGGCTGATCAGTGCATCAGACCTTCCTCTGTGCTGTTTACAGGTCTCTCAGCGGTTCTCTCTCCCGTGAAGCGTTTACCGTTTCCACCCGCGCCCCCGCTCCTGTGAATTCACCACTGACGGCCGCGGCAGCGACGTGCGACGGCGCGTGTCAAGACCCATTAGTCGGTTCTCCAAACAGCCGCGGCGTTCCCGGCCTCTCCGAATCACCTCTAAGCCTCTACCCGACCTCGGAGAGCTTCGGGTGGGCCAGCCGTGAGCTAACAGTGAGCTAACAGTGAGCTAACAGTGAGCCAGCGCCGAGCTCGCGGTGAGCACTCCGGAAAATGGACGCCGATCTGGCGGCCGTTGTCTGATGCATTATACACGGGCTGGTGCGGTCGGCTTGATTCAAACAATGGTCGGCTGAGCGCGACCGGCGAGAGCGAGAGCGAGAGAGAGAGAGAGAGAGAGAGAGAGAGAGAGAGAGAGAGAGAGAGAGAGAGAGAGAGAGAGAGGCGGTCGCCGCTCGGCCGAGTGTTTGAACTGCGGGTGGACGTCGACACGGCCCGCTCCGTCTCCGGCCGTTCCGGGCAGGGCGTCTCCTCGTCTCCTGCTCCGTCTCCAGCGGTGTCTCTGTCTCCACCCGGCGACCGCCGCTTCTAGCGACGACCACTTGAGTGCCGGAGACTCGAGTGTGGCGTGGGTGGCGCACGTGCGACAGTGGGCCATTTAGCGGAGAGCCAAACGCATGACATCAGAGGTGAGAACAGAGAAGACTGTTGTTTCGGGAGTAGAGGACATGACAGCGTGAGAGACGCCCTGGAAAAACTGACACGTGCCATGGCGGGAATCAGATATAAGGTGGTGAATTAGCACTGCCACTGTGTGAACTGCAGAGGAATGCCCAAGGCCGTATATAAGGGAATGTCATGGAAAGCAGTGCACCATACAAAAGGAAGAGTGTTTAGAAGCGTAAGCGCTTTCCTGACACCTTCTTCCACAAGAGCGACGCACCTGTGAAGTTTTTACACATCTCGGCACGTTAGGACCCAGCATGACACGCTGTGGTTGAGCGCAGCGCGGCGTTTTTCGCGCAGGAAGCAAGTGTCCTATCGTCGCAATCTGTCGCAAGGCGGCCGCGAAGAAAACATTTAATGAAACATCCTTTATCATAATTTACAGCGGCGATGCGCAGATAGCGGAAGGTAATGTGGCCAGGAAAAAGCAGCGCGCGCACTCCGGCGAGCAGCGACGCAAAAAGCGGCACCGCGGCATTCTCGACGCTGAGGCGGCGAGAGCGGCGCATCAGTGGCCGGTGGCGCGGCTGGCTGGAGTAGACCGGGGTGTCGGCTGTCACTGCGCGCAGGATTCAGACGGATGGTCGCGCGTCGGGCCGATCTGTCCGAGTGATATGTGCTTACTTAACCGGCAGCTCGGCGGCACTGACTCGAGACACATCGCGGGGTGGTCTGTCGACTCAACGGCCTGCTATATGCACTCATATACAGCAGCATTGTTATTCGCATTAAATTGCATACATTCGTTTCCATACCTGGTGGGATTTACAATTTATCAGCAAACCCGACTGCATTGTCCCGGTGGGATTAGTACCGTGTCGCATCCCAGTTTCTGATAGATCTGGCGTTGGCATTCTTGAGTAAAATGCGACCGAACAAACATTTCAAGCTAGTAGCAATATGTGGACAAACCAAAAGAGTTGCGGCAAAGGCAGTGCAGCAACAGAAGCGCAGCAATGGCGGTTCGGTAAGAGCGGTGCGGCAAAAGTAGCGCGGCCCGATGTGACGCCATCCCAGCTGCCGTCATCGTCTGCTCTGGCAACGAAACCGCTCCCATTGTCCCATCAACAAGGCGCGAAATCGGCCGCAATAGCGACGCTCGACGCGCCTAGATCGTCACCAGTCGCTGACTAGTCGATCGTGAGTCGCGGCGATTAACGGCGCGGCGCGGCTCAGAACCGGCGCAACGCCGCGCAGCTAGCCACCGCAATCAATTTCCCGATAAGCGATAAATTACTCGCTACACTAAACGACGTGGCGGCGGGATAACCACGCCGGCTCTGTCACAACAGGCCCGCCCTCTGCCGCTCCCGCCCCCGCCCTCGTCGGACCGCCGCCGCCGCCGCCGCCGCCGAGGCGACCCGCCGCCATCCGGTCAGATGAAGAAATAACTCACCGGTGGGACGTGATTAGCGTGTGGCCGGCCGGCAGGGCGGGGGCGGGGGCGGGGGCGGCCTTGCCGATCACCGGGTGAATCCCGATCAGTATTTGGGCGTTCTGGTAGCGGTACCGCGCCGGGTCCGTCTCGCACGCGTCACGTTCGCTCCGGCGCCGCCGGCCGCGCGAGGGCGCCGGGAATGCCAATGAGTGATTATCGTGGTGCGATACGTTCCTGTTCCGGTGACCGGTTGTGAGGCATTACTGGAATGGATTGAGACCAGACGAAGGGAATATTCCGTTTTAATGCGGCAGAATACAGTGCAAATTCGATACACCGTATAAACAACCAACAGGGCTCTGAAAATAAATAAATGGCTCCCGTGTGCATAAGTCTGAAGAATGAATGACCACAATTCAGCTT